TAAGTTCATGCTAAACAATGAAGCGTAAGTATGATTCCAGTAAAAATACTGCACATGAATTTAAAGCATCAAATAAGATAACAATTTTAACCGTCACCCATTTTTCAATTTAAGACATGCACATAGCACCATACATGAAGCTGACCAAGGGAGACTGTATTTAACCAGATATTGTTTACATTGTATTGACCTTGCATATTGGAAGCTCCATTGGTTGCATTGCCATACATTTACTTATATAAATGCCTATTTTTTCAAAAACGTGACAAACCAAATCATACATTCCTTTTCTAGTTGTTAATGTGTAATTGACTATCGATATGACATGCTCATGTGTAGCTTCTTAAACATATCGAATCACAAAGAACATCATTTTTGACAGAAATATGACCAAGTCGCTCGACTTCTTCTGTTGCTAACTGAATCATGCCAGAAATCGCTTTTTCTAACCACCTACTCAATTTATACTTCCAACAACGAATCAAATTTGCCACCAAACAAAAGAATATTCAAAAAGTTTTTATGATCTACACTGTCATCAAGCAATGTAAACCCAGACTCCTCTGCACCTCTGTAGCTTATCAAAATCTTTTAAAGTTTTTATGGTTTTTTCAAAAATTAAACGATTCTTTTCAAACTCTTCATCATGTCGCCGCGTATAAGTGCTTATAATATCTTTGGCATTGATTTTTAAAACATATTTAAAATCAATGCCAAAGATACTCTGTGCAGGCTGCATGTAGTGCACTGCTTTTATGTTCTGATATTCTTTGATAAATATGCTTGAAATTCGTAAAGTTAAATCCACTAAAGAACCTTGATTGATGCGAGACTTTGCTAAATGTCAGACAAAATGAACAAAACAGTTTTTGTGTGTTTTCTTCAAAAGTCAACCAGCGACAAGGCCTATTGTTTCTAAAATAAAACCTCTGTTAATTAATTTTAACGTTTAGATCAAAATTGTTTTGCTTTGAATGACATTTAAAAAATGATTTCAAAAATCTGATTGGGGTTTCAAAAAATAATTATAGTTGTTTAAGTTTCTTCACTTGGCTCGCATTAATTACTGTTCAATTTATATCGAATGTCAGAGATAGGGTAAGAGGTTGCAATTTACTTTTAGTTACATTTTAATTTACCGTTGATTATGATAATCAACGGAAAATTAAATGTAACGTAACTAGAAATATGATTTTTTTTATGGCAACCGGTAATCTTCCGGTATCCCAACGGCCCAGTCCAATATATATATATATATTGGACTGGGCCGTTGACATCCAATATATATATATATATATATATATATATATATATATATATATATATATATATATATATATATATATATATATATATATATATATATATATATATATATATATATATATATATATATATATATATATATATATATATATATACTTATATATATATATATACTTATAAATATATATATATACTTATATATATATATATATATACTTATATATATATATATATATATATATATATATATATATATATATATATATATATATATATATATATATATATATATATATATATATATATATATATATATATATATATATATATATATATATATATATAACGAAGATTATTTGGTGTTGTCAAAGTTCAAATTTTTAATGCAAAACTTCATTTTTTTTCTTCTGAAAAGCTTAAATTGATCATTTTGGAATTTACCTAATAATTAATTTAAGCTAAATTTTAAAATTACCTTCGTATTGTTTGGATTGACAGCGAAATTATGAGCATAGATGTGTGCGCGCGAGTGTGCATTTAAAGGTACTTATATTTACTAGCAAGCAAATTTTATCAAAAAGTACTGAGCCTTAGAAACATTCGTATTTAATTTCATTAAAAAATCTAATATAATTCAAAGAAAAGATAATACATTAACGAAATTACTCACATAAAAAAAAAAAAAAAATCGAACGATACTAAAAATTCGAACGTTAACAAATTCCTGACTTTTTTGACTGAAAATTTGTTTTTTGGCAACTTTCTGCTTTTGAACGGTAGGATTAAACACTATAGAAATAGATAAGTTTTTCATTTAGCTTTTGTATTTTTATTGATATCTTCAGTTTTTATGCTCGTAATTATTTTTTACCATCAAACTTTAAATGTTTCATATAAATCTAAGCGAATGAATGAAAAATAATTTTAGCGCAACAAAACCAAAGAATTTTAATTATTTCAAATTTCGAATTAAAGATGCGTATCTTAACTATTTTTTCTCCAAATTAAAGGTATCACTTTGTTTATGTGCATTAGATTTAAAGCACTTAACTGTTTTCGATACCTTCTATGTTCGCATAAAGTTTAACATTTTTCCGACTTTATTTTAATTACTTCATTCGACGAATTTATGCGGAGAAAAAACCCAATACACTCTCTTAAAAAAATCTTGACAAAAGTTTTGTGTGAGCAAAAGATGAGAGATGTTAAAAAAGTTGCCGTAGCTGCAAGCAAAAAATGAGCGGTGTTAAAAAAGTTGTCGTAGATTAATATAATTAAGGAGCCGCAAAGGATAATATGAGTAAAAATGGTAGGATGAAAAATAGGTGGATGATAAAAATTTATTGTTGCATATTTTATTTAGCGTACACAGCACTTTTGTAAATTATGTCAAATCAAGTTGTATAACTAAACGGGATTTTTTATATAAAAAGCGTCCCACCAAACTGTAATACTCTGTTACACCTGAGAGGAAAGAAATGCTTGATTATATTAGAAAAAGTGTTAATGTAATAGTTATATTATTTTGAACAGATGTTCAGTGTTACAGCAGGTAATTAAGAGAAGAAAGTGGGTATAACCATATATCTGTCTTACTACTAAATTTATTTTGTATCTTGCTTTATATTTATATTATTATAGAACCTAGCTAAAATCATGACAAAATTACACAGATTTTTTGTTTATTATTCGCAGCCAGAGCAAAAATCAAGACAGTATGATGCAGTCATACTGAGTCATATAGAGTCAGGCGACTCTAAGTGAGGGCCAATCCTTAAAAATTGCTTTCTTAAAAAAAGTCCTAAAAACTTAAAATTACTAAACTCAAATGTGTCAAATATATGTATGTATGACACTCCCTCCCTCCTTCGTAGAATTGTCCATGGAGGCAGTTTCTCGTTTTAAATTTAGTTTATATGGTTTAATAGAGTTCGTGTTATTTACATTTAGTTTAATTTATATTTTTAAATGTGATACTTCGTTTTATATTTATATTATATAATTGATTTTTGTATATTTTAGTACAAATATTTATTTTATATTTAATTTAATTTATTTGGTAATTAGTAAAATAATTAGTTTTATATTTAGTTTTTACTTAATTTAATTTATATGGTTTGGTAAATTCACTTGTTTATATTCAGTTTATACTTAAGTTAGTATATACATTTTAGAAAAATTCGTTATGTATTTAGTTTAAACCTGTACGTTTACTGCATATATTCGTATTTAAGTTATACAGTTACATTTAAGTTATACAGTTTAATGACATTATTCATTTTATATTTATTTTAACTTTATACGGTTTACTTAGATTACGAACCCCTCATTTTATTGCCCCTGAGTGAAAATATTCGACTTTTATGTTTAATTTTTATTTTAGTTTAAACAGCGCAGTTCAATTATTCAATTTATAATTAGTTTATGTTTAATTTGAACGGTTCAAGCGCATAGTAAATTTGATACATGGGAAGGGAAGGTATTACTAGGTATTACACTTTCAGCCAAAATTTCCACTTACAAAAAAGCTGCACATTTTATTCTAAGTGTTTAAGTTTACAGTATATTTGTTTACAGGTCCAAACAATGTATAATGATTGGTTTAATCATTGTAAATTATCCAATCTTACATATATGTATATGTATATATATATATATATATATACATATATATATATATATATATATATATATATATATATATATATATATATATATATATATATATATATATATATATATATATATATATATATATATATATATATATATATATATATATATATATATATATATATATATATATATATATATATATATATATATATATATATATATATATATATATATATATATATAGATCTGATAAAAAATGAAGAAGTATTTGCCGTTGACTCATGAAATATGAATATAGCAAGTATTTGCAATATTTATTATTTGTTAAAAAATTTTAATAATGCAAACTGATGTATTTTAAAGCGGTAATAAAGTGTGGACTTGTGTCTGTAGCTGTGGTTATATTTTATGGTTATAAAATGTATATTTTTTGGTTTATGCTAAATTAATCATGGTTATTTTTACGGTAATTCGTTCGTATTACTCTTAAGTTAAAAATCTACAGATTTATTACATAATATTCGTTTTACTGTATCTGAATTTGAATCGTAGAAAATGATCAAAACAGTATCAGTGTTTTTTTAAGTAAGATTTATAAAATACGTAAAAATCTAATGTAGAAAACAATCATAAAATTTTAAAGTATATTAAATTAGTAATGGTTATGCATTTTCTGCAAAACATAGTGCAATTTAAATAAATTTATAAAACCAAAATATAAAAACATAGGCATGCGCGTTGCTTTCTTAAAACATTTATCTGCGTATACGTTGATCTTGAAGAATCTTTAATTACCAAAGTTTTTGTATCATAAAAATTGTATACCAGTAATTATCTTATAGTGATATCCAGATGTTAAGCGGTATTGGTTTTTGGTCGACTTTATACAACCACAAAGTACGCTGTAAAAGTTTCCTTATTAAATTTGAAAACAACAAAGGATTTTTGATATTTGAGATAAACCAATCCAAAGGTTTCTGTTCCACGTGAGAATTTAGGTTGAATTAAACAAAAAACCACAAAATCATTAATTTTCAAAACTCCATTCAACTTCCTCCGCTTTACTTTAAAATATAACTGTTTGTCAGAATAATGAGGTAAATGCCACGCGCTAACTTTTTTTTTGTGTATTACCAATTAACACCTGTGCCAAAATAATTTACCTATAAATACAGACTTGCGTAGTTGTTGACTTCTATTCTAAAAAATAAAAGTGAAGTAACGGTGAGTTTCAATTACAATACCAGTAACGGTGAGTTTCATGTTTTTTTTATTACATTTTTATTTACGCATGCGCCTTTTAATCACTTTTAATTGTAATTTTTTTAATTTTCAAGCTTAGCATTTTTAAAGACATTTTTGATTTTTAAAAAATAAAACATCAAGCGAATATTTCATTATATGCTAATTTAAAATATAGTTTGAATGTATTGCTTGAAAATTCAGTCGCTAAGAAATTTTAATATTAAGGTTAAAAGTCCAGGTGGTAACTAGTAATTCATTTTCTTCAAACTATTTTCAAATTCTTAAATAACTAAGTGCTATTAAGCTTCAAACGAATTTGTATATAAATTTATAGAAAAATTATCTAAAAAAAGTATGGCAAAAATTGTATACCTTTGTTGGGTCGTGGTTGCACTGTCGCAGTTTCAGGTAATGATTATGATCAGTAGTTATCTTGAAGTTATCTTAAAATTTAGTAATTTATGTTAAAATTGGTTAAAAATATATTTCAAATTTTTATTTATTTTTTAGAATACGAAATCAATTGGAAACATTGAGATACATATAGAATATTTTAAATTTCAAAAAGATTATCTGAATTGCGCGGATACATGTCTGCAATACGCTAGCGTTTGCCTATCGAATATTAACCATAATACAAACTGCGATATTGGATACATTGAACAAGAATATAAACAATATAATTTCAACTTATCCTTTATTAATTTTACTTTGCCACTCGTTGTTCCTGTTAAAGTAAGTGTTATATACCATATATTTTTGTTTGTCAGTACTAAATCGATTCTTACGAATGCGTGCTTGATGACACACTTGATATTTTCAAAAGTCAAGAAATTGATTTGTATCACAATTAATCAAATTAAAAAACTATTTTCTGATTGGTTTAAGATATAGACGATTATTTCAACTATTGAACCCCCAAACTGTGTTTTTCAATTATTGAACTCCCAAAACCCTTAAAAATAATTTTTAAATTTGTTTCACGTAATTGTCAAATGACCGTATAGTGTTTATATGCGAAATTGACCAAAACGATAATCAAAAATGCCTAAAAATATTTTGTCATTTATAAACATTCAAGGAATGTTTTTTGTTTTGTTACCTTGGAGTGTTTAAAGTTTCAGTTACGTTATAAACATTGCGCAGAAAACGCGAGAAACAAACTATCTTGTTCTGGAAATGATAAAATTTCTCCGATTTAAAACAAGTTTTTTAAATTTAAAACTTTTTTAAGACTTAAAATGGAATATACTTTTCATATTTTATCATTTTTTAGGATTTATACATGATATCATTTGAAGTAAACCAACAAACTTCTAATAACAACTCAGGTTTGATTATTTTGTTAAATTTGAAAATTTTATTGAAATTTAAAACTATCGTGTCCTATCGACGCGATAGTTTTAAATCCAAAGGTTTTTCACCTTCAAAAAATTCGCATTTCGCAATTCGCAAAGGTTTTTTACCTTCAAAAAATTCGCATAATGATAATTATTATCAAGAGAATTTTTTTATAACTTTAAAAAAAAAAAACGTTTCTAGAGATTTAGGCCACAAATTTCCAATCGAAGCGCAAGTTTTATAATGTGGAATTTTTTTTCAATGTGTCTAATTGAATTGGTGAATGTTAAAAGGGCGGAAGCCCAACTATGTAAGCTTTCGAAAAATTAAAAAACTGCATTTTCGCCTTTGTAAATTTTTGTTAATAGTTTAATAGTTTTTTTTTTTTTTGAAGAGGATAATGTTTTTCACCTTCAATAAAAAAAATTATTAAACCATTAACTAAAATTTACTACGGGGGAAAATGCATTTTTTTTTTTGTTTCCAGAAAGTTTCCATTATTGGTGTTCCACCCTTTTAACGTTCACCGATTCAATTGACGTTCATTTTAGCCACCAAGAAAAAAAAAAAAGAAAAAAAAAAAGAAATCAACATTTTACTCCTGTATGACGCTCGGAAAAATGCAGCTCTACAAAGTAACTAGTCTTCTTTTTATAAATGCATATTTTTCATTTAATTTTAGTTATTTGTTTTGCTCGCGTTTTGTTTTAGCGCGTTTAAACCAGTTTTTGTTTATAACTAAACAATAACTAAGAAACAAAAGAGGTTCAACTTGCTTCTCTTTAATTATGCAAAATGCGTAATTTTAAATTTAGGGAACTGAAGCAAGTTATTAATTTGCGTTTTGCATTAATTTTTGCAATAATTTTTTATTGCAATTGCAATAAATTTTTATACAAACGAATTGTTTGAAAAAATAATACGAGCATTAAAAATGAACAATGTGATATTTACAAAACAATAAGATATTATTATTATTATATATATATATATATATATATATATATATATATATATATATATATATATATATATATATATATATATATATATATATATATATATATATATATATATAATATAATATAATATAAAATTAATGTATAAAACAATTAATCCTCTTTTTTTAAAAAGTTATAAAACATATTTTTAAGGGTCAAAGTGGTCTGGTGATTTTTTTGAAACCCTCTTAGAGGCTAGCATTTCCGCAGCGACTTAAAAAGCACCGCAATATATTTATAACATTTTTTTTATAGTTATTTAGTTAATCAAAAAATTCTATGTATCAAAAATATGGTATTAACATATTAAGGTGTTTTTTAATTCACTGTGAAAATTTTAGACAATTATAATACTATAATATAAAATTTGAAATAAAAATAATTTCTCTTTGATGTACTTATCAGCTTATATTTAAAAAAATGTGTAGCTATAGTCAATAGTTCTGTTTTTTTAATTGCAGCTCTTTTAAAGAAATATAGCACTTACATCAGCTTTACGCCTCACAACAAATGGGTAGCAGTCCGCCAACAATTTATTGGATTTTACATTCGCACAACGTGTGATTTACCCGAATCAGCTAATGCTACATTTTGGTGTGATCATCCTGGCCACTATTATGGGTACAATGCAAACAATGTTAAGTTATGTAATAAAGGTTGGGAAGGAAGAAACTGCGATAAAAGTATGTTTCTATTTATAATTAATTCAATTTCTTCGAATGCAAATACGCATGCAAATTTGTCAATTTTCTTTCCATTTGGCGGGAAACCCCAAATTTTAATGAGCATTTTTCTCCCTCCCTCATTTACAAAATTTTAAAAGACTTTTCCTTATTAAACAACTAGACTTTCTACTTTCAAAATGATTTTCATTTTTTAAATGGTTTTTTTTGTTTGTTTTGTATTTTTGCTTGTCTGATTTGTGTTCTAGTATTATTCCTATCTGCAATTAATCACATTGTTTTTATGGTTGATTATGATAGAATATATTATACTGGTTCAGAATATATAAACATAGGTCTGAAAACCTGGGGAAAAAACTAATTTGATATTAAAGTTTAACAAGTAATAAACTTTAAAAAACTTTTTAACACTGTTTTTATTTAAAAATCAATCATTTAGAAAATCTTTTTTTATTTAGAGGATCTTTTCGTTTTTTGTTGTTGTTGATAAAGATAGTAGGCAAATACCTTCTACCAATTTTCAAAACTTGACAGCCATATAAAATCAATGTCATAATAAAAATAACATTAACATTTTATTTTAGTTATTTTTGACTTTTTTTTTTCAGATAACACAATTTGCATACCCAGAGATAACTATAGGTGTAGAAACAACCAGAAAATATGCAATCCTGGATGGACAGGAATTAATTGTGAAGTTTGTGAGTTAATTCAATAATTCTTTTTCTTTTTTTCTAATCTACAGTTATTTATTTAAAACTTAAGTGCAGAGATCAAAAGCACTATATTTGTCAAAGCGCTTAAAATGTGTTATTCTAGAGATGATTATATGGTCATTTCACCAAAAGTTATTCAGTTTTAAGTATCAAATTTCATAACAAAGATATGTAAGAGAAACTGGTCAAAAAGTGATCTTTTTTATCTAACAATGCTATAAGAAACTCACTTTTAAAGGTTTTCGAAAGGACAATAAGAATATGTATGTTGAGGCTGTACACAATTAGGGTTACTTTTGTGAGGTACCTTGGTGGAATTATTATGTGTTTGGGAGGTATTCAGAAGGTTATAAGTAGTCATGGTACACTCGCCTAGTATCTACATTAAAGCTTGTTGATTTTCAATATTCAGTATGAATATTTAATAAATAATTATTCAATAGTTGAAAACTTTTTTGTTAAACTTTGGTTTTTATCAGTTTAAATAGCAATTTTTTTTAAAAAGGAGCTTTATCCAGTTAATTTTATTAAATAAAAATAGTCATTTTATAAGGTACTTGATTAAATTTTTTTTTAACCTTGTCATATTAGTTTTCAGTTTCTTTACTTTGTTGTATTCTTTTTTTTACAATACAAGAAATAAAAGTTTTCACCATAAATTGAAGTAGAATTAATTCAAATTAGTTTTGTGGATATTCTGAAATGAAAAGATGTATGGATCAAAGTCAGTAAAAAAATTGAATATATATATATATGTATATATATATATATATATATATATATATATATATATATATATATATATATATATATATATATATATATATATATATATATATATATATATATATATATATATATATATATATATAAATTTTATCAAAAACATAATTTTAGCTTCTTTTTTTTAAATTTCTGATTCACTCCCAACAAAGCTGCAAGTAATCGCATAAACTAGATTATTAAATTCAATTAGTTTTGTTTAACCTTAATTTTATGTAACCTTAATAAAATGTTTTTTTCTGGTGTGCTATGTTTTAAGGCATGTTTATATTAATTATTTACATGGGTTTTTTTTTAGCCACTTACAAGAAGTTGTGCAAGCCTCGTGATGATCATACTGGCCATTATGGATGCAGCTA